GGGGAAAAGTAACAACAACAACAAAAAACCTGTATCACTATGAACCCATGAATCTAAGGCCAATTAGCGAAAGGCCAACTAATAAATGTAGGAATGATGGAGTTTGAAAATCACCACTGTGCAACCACTGTGCAATAACTGGAATTCTTCAAATAATTTTAATTTTATTGTAAGACAATACTCTTATACAGAAGTACTATGAATAATTATTAGCCTTCAAAAATAAATTTATTTAGAAACTTATTTTGATGTCATTTTTCTTTACTTTCATCAGAACCATTTACTGAGTTCTCCCATCAGAAAATAGATGATTCTACTCTGATTGACTAAGAATGTATTTTAGAAGCACCCTAACTGGGCTGGGGTGTGGCTCAGTGGTAGAGTGCTCACCTAGCATGCACGAGGCACTGCGTTCGATCCTCAGCACCACATAAATGTAAATTAAAGATACTGTGTCCACCTAAAACTTAAGAATAAATATTTTTAAAAAGCACCCTAACTTTCTAAATTATAGTTCAAAAATCTGGTTTTATTGAAGAACTAGCTAGATATATCTAAAAGTCTTGCTGGCCATCATAACACCACGTTCGTTATTGTAATAATTTATTTATGTGTATACTTTCCATTCTAGAAAATAAGCTCCTCAAGGAACAAAACAGATTTTATTAATCTGTGTAGCCCTAGCACCTGGCACAATACTTGGCATCAATATACAATATATATTTGTTGAATAAAAGTATAAAGCATCACTTAATTTGTTTTCTCAAAATTTGATCATTACTAATCTGGAGATCATAAACTTAGACCTATCTTTCCTGTACTGTACATATCAAAGACCTAGGAAAAAACCAAGCATCAGAAGTAACCAAGCCTAAGAGACATTTATACATGTTTTGTTGATAGCATCAAGTAATAGTTTAAATAATCCACTTTTCCCCACACTTTTAATTCCATGGGCTACTCAAAATTCTGTGAAAAGGGGTGGGGAGACGGGATTTGAACAGTCATTAAATATGTTTGGGAAAATGCTGAAAATCACAAGTTGAATAGGACTCAAGAATTTAAGTAACCCAATGATCTTCAACAGGGGATTATGTGGCTCTCTAGGGAACATCTGGCAATGTCTAGAGACACTTTAATTATGACAAATACTGATGAGAGGGATGCTGGTGCACATCCCATAATGCATAGGACAGCCTCTACCACAAAGAATTACCCAACCCAAATGTCAATAGTGTTTAGGTTGAGAAACCCTGAAGTAATCTAATGTATTAAACTTCTTTTGGCAGTAAAAGACTCAATATAGACCTATTTAACTTTAAGGCAAAAAAAGGGATTTATGGGAGGAATACTAGTGTATCTCCCAAATAATAAGATTCACCAAGGCTTCAGGATAACTAGAAGAAATGAAAAGACAAATGGAACTCTCTCACTTCTCTGTCTCTGGTTATGGCTTCTTTCTGACACACTCCTGCAAACCTGTTTCTTCTATGTGGTGAAGAACATGGCTCCCACTAACAGCTTTGCTTGAAGATCATTATCTGAGAAACAGTCACACTCTTCCTTCTTCCAACTCTATAAATCCTGCAGAATAACTAATTGACTGGGTTTTGTGAGTGAGTATAGGCCAGATGCCCACCCCTGGATAAAATCAACAGTCCAGGGAGTGAAGTCATGTTGAAATTTTGTAGTCTGGCAATAAAGGGCCACATTACTAGAATGGGATGAAGAGTAATTTTAAAATTACCAGTGAGTTTCTTTTTATGAAAAGAAGTTTTAAAATCGTGCAATTTATCAATTTTCTCATGAAAAGCTGTCTTACATTTTCCTCTAAAATTTTTACTCTTTGTACCTTTCATATTCATACCTACAATGCATCCAGAATTGATTTTTATGTATAGTATGAGGTGACAGTCCAGATCCAATTTCCCCCACATTATTAGTCAATTGACTAATGGTATCTTTTATGGGAGATATCAGATATTTAGGCAAAAAACAAACAAACAAACAAAAACCTCTTGTAGAGAAAGGAACATATATAGAGTAACCCATCTAAATAACATTATTCTTTAAAACATCTTACTTCCTTAATTTTCATCTAATGTTATGGAACATCCTTAACGGACCTCTTTTTATCTGAACAGACTGACTTTGAGAGGAAGACATGGTATCGAATGTTGTACCAAAGAAGTTCTCATAATAAAATGGCATTCCTATTATATATGGGTTTCTCCTGAGAATGATTAGCACTGGTTAATCTTTTATGCCTCAGTTTCTAAATATGTACACTGAGGACCAAATACCATATCAATAATGACTCAAAGGCACTGAAGCCTCATGAACATCTAGAAATAGGTACCTTGCTTCTTTTTTTTTTCCATTTTTCTTGCTTACATGATATTTTGCAGAGGAAAAAAATATGAATAGGAATACTGCAAAAACAAAACACAAAATGTTATGATCATTTAAAACTATCTCATAAATTTAGTTTAATTTCAGATTTTTTAAAAAAATTCAGGTCTTGGCTGAGCATGGTGGTACATGCCTGTAATCCCAGAGGCTTGGGAGGCTAAGGTAGGAGGATCACAAATTCAAAGCCTAAGGTGCAAAGCAATAAGGTTGGACCCTATTTCTAAATAAAATACAAAAAAAAAAAAAAAAAAAAAGGTTGGGGATGTGTGCTCCTGAGTTCAATCCCCAATACCTCCCCTTCAAATCAAGCCTTTAGAGAGGTTTCTAAAAATAATAATAATAAAAAATTCAGAACAGTAGGAAAAGAACCCATTGCTAAAATTAACTCCTTGACAAGGTCTCAATAATATTATTTAAAAAATGAAAAAATTAAAATGTATTTTATATATTTAAGAAAATCTGATTATATTTAAATTCACTAATTCTAATACCAAATCACAGAATTATCAATATACATAAGTAATGGGGATTTTTGAAAAAAATACTGAAATAAAAAAATAAAATAAATAGAATTGCTAAGTGATCCATAACCAAGGTTCTTCCCTTGGTATCTGAAAGCACACTTCCATTAAAACTATTTAAAAAAATTCAAGTTCTAGGCAAATTGATGGGTTCAGAAGAAGAAAGAAATGGAAGCAAACTATAAAAAGCTGGAACAGTTTAAGTAGAGCGATTCAGGAAGGAATTCAGCAGGCAAGTTTAGCTTGCTTACATGGTATAATCACTTTTGTCCAGAGACACTTCCTCTTTCACTGCATTCTTTTACTTCTAAGTTCTTTATATTTTATATAATTGTATCAGAAATCCATTTGGTTTGCCAGGCAACAGTTTTCAAATACAATATTATCTCTTGTTCATAACTGCTACTTGCTTTCACTGTATATCCTTTTGTACAACTTTTTGTTATGTACATATGTTGCCTGCTTTTAAAAAAAAATAAATAATTTAAATAACAAAACAAAGCTTTCCTCTTAATATCTAGTGAAGATTAGTTTCACTGAGGAAATGAGAACTTTTGAGCTGGGGAAGAAGAGTGGTAATTTATAACAAAAATATTTGTGGGGTATGGAAGATGGGAAGATGAAAATAGTTGGAGCCTGTGAGAACACGGCTAGGAAAACAATTTCTAAAAGCAAAAGAGGTATAAAGAGGTATCATGATAAATGTAGTAGATTCCAAACAATGAAACTTCTCTGAAGAGACTCTTTCCTTCATCCACATAATAGTTTAATTGGCATTCAGTATTCATATCTTTTAATCTAGACTTCTACTGATTAATACTATAGTTCAATTACATTATAAAGTAAATAGACTTGTGATCTTACCTGGGGTTATAACTACAAATTATAATACTCTGCATGGAAAATGCATCCGAGTCCCACACAAATGACTGAGAAAACATTTTTAAACATAATGAATGTATAAGTTGAGGAAGGCTTATTAACTTACATTATAAGACCAGGAGCTCCTAGTTAGAAAAACTTTATTTTCCCCATCTTTACCCTACCATCTCCATCATAAGGAATGGCATTGAAATGGTAAATGAGTTGAACATATGAACTACTTTGATATTTTAATCTCCTGTTCTGCTTACTTCAATCTTTCCAGGAAAATATAAATATAATTTCCAGGATACACAGGCAACAGTCTTCTGCAGCCTTCATTCAAAGGTACCACTGGCAGGCTAATATAAAAATAGTTGGTTGCTGGCATGTAAAGGTTCTGAGTTCCTCTAGATCCTCACTCTACCAGCTTCACTGTATTCCTAGCTCCATCTTGAACCAGCTATGTGTTTAGCATTCTGTTCCAAAACAATTTATTACTTCTCTGTACATGTAAATTTGAAATGGGTGTTTTCCTTAGTTTTACCCTAAACTGGTGTATTATACATCAGTTGGCAGAATGGGGCTCCATAAGTATTAAAATTAAGGCATTATATATCACTATTCTATGAGCACCTCAAAACATATCACAAGTTGTTTTTTTTTTTTTTTAAGGAAGAATACTTCATGAACATTGCATAATTTGGTAGATTTCATTCCTCATGCCCTCTCTTCCTTCGCTCTTGATCCCATTCCTTTACTCTATGGGTTTCCCTTCTATTTTTGTGAGATTCCCCTTTTTTTTAATTCCTCTCCCATTTGGAGAAACGAAATTTACCAAATTATGCAATGTCCATGTACAAATAGACCACAATGAATCTTATATATAATTATAATGCACAAATCAATATATTAGTAATAGAAGGGAGATCAGTAGTGCACAGCAAGTAGATCAGGGGCAGGGAGGAGAGAAGGAAAAGACAAAGTACTGGGAAATGAGAGTGATCAAATTAAATTCTGTGTGTATATGAATTTGGCATAATAAATCCCACTATTATATATAATTATAATATAACCAATAAAAATTACCAAGACATTTATTACTATAAAAAAGAAAGAATACTTCAGCTCAGGTATAAACTATTAATTTCTATAAATAAATGATTGCTCTTAAATTGTATGAAACCTCAAAAACAACAAACTTACGTATCATTGTCTTTTACTGTAGATTCCTTTCTTTCAGTTAAACTGAGGTGATTCAATTTTTTTCTCTTTCCTATATATATGAAATAAAGAAAAGAACAAAGTTGAGAGAGAAACTATCAATTTTTAAATAGAGTTTAGATTGCCAAATTTTAAATAGAAAATAAAATTGTGGACAAATAAAAGGGAGATGAGAGCAGAAAAAGTGTCTTATTTTGGTTTTTCCATTTCCTATTCTCATAATTTTTTGTACATGATAACACTGTATTGGAAAAATAATCTTTTGAATAGAATTTCCATTGAGGTTTGATATATTAATAAGAAAACTATGTATATCCAATTTGATAATATAATTAGGTTAAAACAATACACTTTACTAAATAATGGATAAGTATTAATACTTAATTATTAATATTAATTAATATTAATATTTCATTAAATATTTTAATCAAAGATACCTTTTTTTTTAAGGTACTAGGGACTGAACCCAGAGGGCTGAGCCACATCCCCAGACCTTTTTTGTATCTTATTTAGAGACGGCATCTCACCAAATTTCTTAGGGCCTTGATAAATTGCTGAGACAGCCCTTGAACTTGTGATCCTCCTGCCTCAGCCTCTGGAGCCGCCAGGATTACAGGCATGTACCACTGTGCCTGGCCAAAGATACATATTAAGGTTTCCAGAGTGTGCATTATTTCACTTCTATTGTTTTCTTAATGTTAACAAGGGATTGTTGATACTTAAGAAAACAGTTAAATTCCTAATAATATAACAGTAGAATAAATATGACTATAGGGATAAAAGAACCTATTTATTTAACATGTGCATAATGTACAATGTAATGTTTTATTAATGTATATGTGGAATGGCTAACTTAAGCTAATTAATGTATCTATTACCTCACATACTTATCATGGTTTTGTGGCCAGAACATTTAAAATCTCCTCAGCAATTTTCAAGTATACAATTCATTGTTACTTACTATAGTTATCATATTATATACAACAGATCTCCTAAATTTATTCCTCCAATCTAACTGACCAATATCTTTCCATTTCTCCCATCCCCACAATCAGACCTTGGTAACTTCCCCTCTAGTCTCTGCTCTATGAGTTTGACCTTTCAGATTCTACTTATTAAGAGCATGCACTGTTTTTCTGTGCCTGGATTATTCATTTAACATGTCCCCCAGGTTAATCCATGTTGTGGCAAATGGCAGGATATCTCCATATTACACCGTGTGTGTGTGTGTGTGTGTGTGTGTGTGTGTGTGTGTACTGCATTTTCCTTATCTATTCATTGCTGATGTACATTTAGGTTAAGTCCATATCTTGGTTACTGAATATCATTAAAATGAATACACGAGTGCACATATATCTCTTTGATACATTGATTTCATATCTTTTGAATATATATACCTAGTAGTAAGTCTATGAGGTCATATGGTAGTTCTATACTTTTTTTGAGGACCCAAATCTTTAAATGCATATTCATTTATAAATACTTGGAAAGATCTTTATATAGGTTGAGCATCTTTAGTCTGAAAATCTAAAATGCTCCAAAAACCTAAAACTTTTTGAATACAGAATTTTTATTTAGGTATGTTCAGCAAAGTAACTATGCAAATATTCCAAAATCTCAAAAACTCTAAAAGACACTCAACCTGTAGCACCTACTAATGCATATCATTTGTTAAAAGTATTTATTTTAGATAACAATAAAAGAAGTAAATGATTACATCTCAGTATGCAATGAAATGAATAACACACTTTTTGCTACCAATGAAAGTCAACTATTTTCCAATGTATAAATGGAGACCCCCTCCTCATTCTACATATTTTTATGTAATTCCATTTGTTCAACAACTGGCACTGCAGTTATTATTAACTCAATGTTTCTATTATTTTACTAAGAATCATTTACTACAATGTACCATGAAAAACTCCTCACACTCTCCCAAAAGAAATATATAATTTAAAATCTTCTAGAAGTGAAATGAAAAAAAGTAATATATCAGTAAAAGGGTTTTCTAGTTACTTAATAATTACTTATTTCATTTCATTCTATTTTTTAAAAAAGACGATTAACATATCCAAAAAGTACATGGAGTCTATATGACATTTGTCTTGCTAGATACATATATAAGTTAACAAAAGTTGTGTACTTAAGTTCCTTTAAGTGTAGTTTCACAAAACATTGGTGGTCAATCCACTATCACTCAATCAGGACTACATTCAGAATTGTATTTGAAGTTTCTGGCAAGGCTCTAGGGAGTACATTCTCTAATTAGTGAAAACAGCCTTCAATAGATCACAAGGTTTGGAAGCACAACTAATGATGAAAATAATGGCTAACACATAGTATTTATTAGGATCAAATACTGTTTTTAATATATATATAATAACTAATTAATTTGCACAATAACTCTGAGGTAGTCACTCTTTTATGGGTGAGACAGTTAGTGAGTCTGGCATTCAAGCCTCAATAACAAAAAAAGCCAAGCATTGAGGAAAACCTTTATCTACAGAGGTTCAAGTAATTTGTCTAAGGTGCTCACATACTAGTTTCTAACATTTTTCTGAAAGAGTTACTTGTAGGTAGGCCAAGTTGAAGATCTGTAGGCTAAAAGGTGATTAGGCATCTTAATATGATTCTGCTTTCCATTTTTGCTTTCTTTTTTTCCCTCTCTCTCTTTTTTGTTCCTGTGTATAGTTTGTGCGTGCACATGTAGTACTGGGGACTGAGCCCAGGGGTGCTCTATCACTGGGCATTTCCCCAGCCCTTTTTACTTTATTTTGAGACAAGGTATCATTAAATTGCTCAGGTTGGCCTTAAACCCAAGATCCTCCTGCCTCAGTCTCCCTAGTTGCTGGGATCATAGGTGTACATCACTGTATCTATCTTCTATTTTTTTAAATTAACCAAATTAATATCATTAAGCAAGACTGAAGGGTGAAGAAATTCTTTGGAGGAAAAACTTACGAAAAATAAAAATGTTACTGTTCCATTTTTATTCAAAATTAAAACACTTTTTAAGTTTCTTGGGAAGAAATGGGATAATCTGAAAATATTACCTATATGATTGAATAGAAAGCTATCAACAAGAAAAGTAGAATTGCTTTTAATCTACTAAAATGTCAATATTTGGGAAGCAACAATAAAATTATAGGTTTTTAAGAAGCTCACATCTATCAAATTGGCTCACATCTATCAAATTACTACAGCTTTAAACAGAAAATTGTTTTCCACCACTTTCAGAATATATAGTATCTGTTTCTTTTCTCACTTGGGAATAAATGAGTTTTGCCAGATACCTATCATTTTTTAAAATATTTGTTTTTTAGTTTTAGGTGGCACAATATCTTTATTTTATTTTTATGTGGTTCTGAGAATCGAACCCAGTGCCTCATGCCACATCCCCAGCCCCCCAGATACCTACCATTTTGTTAGTCTTTTCAAAGAACCAACAGTTGATTCTGTTGTTTTTCTTTATTATTGCTTTGTTTTTTATTTCAGTTTTTCCATTCATATTTTCACTATATCTTCTACTATTTTGGATTCATTCTGTTTTTCAACCTTTGCCAATTGAAGCTTAGTTCATTAATTTTCAGCCTCCCTTTTAAAATATATGTATTTATAGGTTAAACTAAATTTTCTCCTAGGAAATGTGTTAGTACAATTTAGGAATAAGTTTTTCCAGTAGGAGCTGACATGTTTTCATTATCATTCAATTCTGAATATTTTATACTATTTTGATTTTTCTGATTAGCAAATTATTTAGAAACTTTTTGGTATCCAAACACATAAACTAAAACTTTTAAAGGCATGTCTTTTCATTATTGATTCCTAATATAGGAAATTTTGGTTTGAGAATGTAATCTGTATGACAGCAATTATTTAAAAAATTTTTTTATATTTATTTTTAGTTGTAGTTGGACAAACTGACACCTGTATTTCACTTATTTATTTTTATATGGTGCTGAGAATCGAACCCAGGGTCTCACACGTTCCAGCGCTCTAACGGTGAGCCACAACCCCAGCCCCAACAGCAATTTTTATAACAGTGGGACTTCCTCTGTGACTCCAAATTGGTTACACTTTTGTGAAAGTTCTATGTGTGCTTTTAAATATATTCGATATTATAACTGAGAAGTGTTCTCATTAGAATCAAACTTGCTAATTGTGTTTTGTTTATATCTTTCTTAACGTTTTTGCTTCATCAGTTTCTGAAAGACATAGTTTAAAATCTCCTACTATGATAAAATAACATTTAGAAGTATCACTCTTAAACTATAGTACAGCAGTACCTGAGTTATGTGCCCTTTAATTTATGCACATGATGGATAGCTTGTTAAGGGGTGTACCTGTAACTATTATAATTGATAGTAGTTGAAGGCAGTTAGGCCATAATTTCTATTTAATGGACAGAATAGTAAAGGAACAAAGTCTGCAGTAACATTTTTTTAAAAAAGTGCCTGGAAAGTTTACATTTATGCCCAAAGTAACACCTATATTCTATCTAGCGTTTTCTATGTTAAATTCTTTGAGAAAAGAGAAAAAAATCAGTTTTAGCAAGATCCATATATTATTAAATAAAAATCCTGATTTAACCAGTAACTAGAAAAATCTTATCATAAATGGAAAAGAATGTTCAACTAACCATTTGATGGCCCATTTCTGGGCTCTTGTTCTTTAGAGCTTGTGGGAGAAGAAAATGGACTCATTTGACAAGTTCCAGTTGTTGGAGAATAAGCTGTAATACTTCTCTTCTTTGTGATTTTTGAAGGATCAAATGACTGGAAATAAATAATTTTGTAACAGAAATAATTACATTTAGTTATAGTTCTTTTAAAAACTCAGCAAATCAAATCAATACTGGTTTCCTTCCTCTGTCTTTTCAGAATTCAAATATACTCAGTTATCATTTTCGAAATGAACACTGTCCTTTCAAATTAGGTAGGTGTTTCAGGTTTCTATAATAATTAGGGCATCTAAATTTGATATTTAGAAAATTTTAATATTAAAGGGTTATTACTACTTTCTGAGATGATATTTTCTAAGGTTTAGAAATGACCAACTCATATAACCACATTCTCACTTTTAATTTAACTTGAACCTGAAATATAATAATGGGCAAGGCCAAGAAAACTTGGAGATGCTTATTACTAGACCTACAAGGAAATCCTAGGAAAGATCAGTACAGTCCTACATCTTTACACAGTTCTCTGACACAGTGTCTTGCCTTAATGATAAAGAAGATAATGTCTAAATAACTACATCCAACATTTTAAGACTTTTGAGAATTTGGCCTAAATTATAAGATTCCTCTCTGAAGCTTCCTCCTTTGTATTTAGGAGTCTAAATCCAGGTAAAGTATTTTGATAACATTTTAATTTGTCTACTCCATCAGAATTTACTCCTAAAAATAAACATTTCTTCATCATTGTACACTAGGGAACTTAAAAACATATAAGGAATGAATGACTTAAAAGGAACTGTCCAGTCAACTCTGCCATACCACTCAAAATATACTCATTTGTTCATTACTACTTAAAATATACTCATTTGTTCATTGATTCATCCATCCAATATTCACTAGTATCTTTGCTTTCAGTTTAAATAGGTTAAACACATTCAAGTCTCAGATCATTCTATGATCTCAGCTTTGAATGTTCCCTTTCTTATCTTTTCCAAGACCCAGTCTTTCTTTAAGTCTCTACTCACAATCCACTTTCTCCAAACTCCATTATCATAGTACTAATTGCTCTCCTGAATGCCTCTAAAAACTTGCTTTCTATATTGCTAACTAATGAATATGAAGAAATATTAACAACTGTTCTGGCCTCAATAAGCGTTTACCAAAGGCTAAATAGAGATAAGGTCTTAGTATGTATGCTTAGAGAAACTCAAAGAGCGAAAATCCAAGTGGGCTGTAGCATTCTGTTACAGAAAGCTTCTTTTGAGGGGGAAGGCTGAGGCTTAGGTAAGTAAATATAAAAGACAGGAAACATCTGAAATCAGAGGTGAAACAGCATAGGATGAAACTAGGGGATAAAGAAAAGGTTTGAAGGCTCAGAGGATGGCAACATTGTAGAACTAAACTTTAGTAGCTGACTTAAAACAGATATGTAATTCTTTATGGCCAAATAACCTCTATTTTTAGGACACATGGCAAAAATGGTGGCTGTGTCACCTTTTTCATTAATCTTCATATTATTGGTTTCAGAATCTACAGTATCAAAAATTTTATAGTTGAAATTTTAAATGATAAATATTTCTGTGTTTGGGGGAATAAAAAGGCATTTCTTTCTTTAGTTTACATATCCACAATAGGCACAAATGTAACCAATATCCTTCTTAAAATATCAAACTATAATATGAAGTTATAATTCTATGGCAATCTTTTTCATGGGGTGAAAGGTTTTAAGTCTCTTTATCAGGTGGTTACCTCTCCATGTTTGAGTTTTCACCTGTTCATAAACTATGACATTAATCCAAACCGTACTTTATTTTTCCAAGAATTTATTGCCCAGAACAATTTCACTGTGTATGTACAAGAAATGTAAGTCACTCCTCTAATGTACATTTATATCCATCTGTTTTCCTATTTTCACCATAAAATTATTTTATTCAATTGTCAAATGTCTAAACATTACAACTGTAGATAATACATTTCCTCTTGAAAATGGTTTTCTAGCTTTCAGAAAATAACTGCACGTACACATGTATGTATCTGCATCACTTTAGAAATAGTGAGTCTTCACTTTTTTCTATATTCCATGTTGGTTTTATATTTTGGTCATTTGTGTTGGTTAAAAGGAACATGTCTGTCTACGATTACTATACATAGAGGAAAAATTGAAAAATCTATCTTTCCCTACTCTCCTATTAAATATTCTTCAGCAAATGATGTATTTTATGTTTGGTCCCTACTGGTATACACAAAGGTATAACAAAGTTTTTTCCCCTCAAGGTTTTACCAAAATCTTCTAACTTTATATCTCTGAAGATGTTTAAAAGTGATCCTAGAGTTCATCTAAGAATTTCATTTTGCCATCCTCCAAACTTCAAAGGACTTGGCTTACTTCTTAGTCTCCTATGACAGGGAGAATTAGAAGCCTAGGGTTGAGGAAGACTGAGCTGCTAACTGAGAAGCCAGCAGTCTTTCCACTAAGCAAGGATGAGTGCTACCAGACCCTTTGGAAAAACAGAAAGAAATGGAGAGAGGACCAGTTTTCCCCTAAAAAAGGAAAACCAATTCAAGATGTAAACAAAATTCAAGGAGACAGATGTCACAACCAATTCTATAATAATTTACAACTGCTTCTAATATTTACTGACTCAGTATTTTTAAAGTGAGGCAAATACATATATAAACAACTAAAAAACAACAATAACAAAATGCCAGGTTCTAAGATTCAGCCTATAATCAGCCCAAATAGCCTGGTACATTTTATAAAGAGGTCAAACTTATACATTAGTAAAACTAAAATTTGGGCATCAATTTTCCTGCCTTAAAAAAATCAATGTTCTCTTTATAATTTCAAATATGACATTCTACTTCAATATCCTTTACGAATTGTAGCTTGCTTCATCACCTTGTTTAAAGCATATTCTACCAAAAAGGTGCCTGCATTTTATTGATTTTTTACCTATTATAAACAGTCTAGAAAGTACTAACTAAGGGTTCTTTCACAGATGAAAAATGGGATATAAATGATCTGCTATTATTATAAATTACCAGTCTATGCTGTCACTGAAATATTTAAAATACAAGTACTGTAGGTATATGGATAACCAGAAACAAAAGGGCAGCGAAAGGGAGATAATTCTCAGTAACCTTAAAATGAACTTCTATATGAATGCACCACAGTAAATCTCAACATTATGTATATGCACAAGACTGAGATCCTAATTAGAATAAGATATATTCCATGTTGGTATAAATATATCAAAAAAGATTCTACTGTCACGTATAACTAAAAAGAACAAATAAAAATTTTAAAAAATAACCTTATACTGGCTAATTAGGTTACTGGGAATGTCCCAACTAAGATATAATTATTATGCACTAATACTACTAATTATGTAATATTTGTTAGGCACTTTCATATTCTGGGTCTTGGGTTCCTGGAAAAGTAATAGATATCAACTAACTAATTAGCTGCCAAATTAATGGTTCTATAAGACATTAGGGTTTTGTTGCTGTTTTTGTGATGGCTACAGAGAACAGAGGCATTTTGCACTTATCTCAGAGATTTTACTATGATAGCAAGTAAAAACATGTTAAATCTGTGGTAATGGAAATGCTCTATTTCTTGATTCAGTATTTGATACACAAGTTTACACATTTGTAAACCTCACTGAATTATATACTATTTGTGAACTTAATGACATGTAAATTTCACCTTAGAATTTTCTCCTTTAGCAGGAGAAAAAAGAGGAAAAACAAAACTGTGGCTAAAAAGTTTATACCCTGGATTTTCTATTTCTGCTCATTATTTTTCCATAATGTTAAGATATTAAGTATTAATTTTAATATTAAAGATATTATTATTGTACTCTGCACTTTATTCTTAAGCTCTCCCCACTCTGCCCAGTACTAGGGTTAGAACCCAGGGATGCTTAACCGTTGAGCTACACCCCCTGCCCATTTTAAATTTTAAAAATTTTGAGTCAGGGTCTTGCTAAGTTGCTCAGGCTGGCCTTGAATTTGAGATCCTCCTGCCTCAGTCTCCTGAGTCGCTGGGATCATAGTCTTGTACCACTATGCTTGGCCTCAAGAAGTTTACGAAAGTTTATCATGGCTATTGCCGATTGTGTTTTCACACATTATTTTATTTTTCAGAATATGAAGTAAATTCCACCCGGATATTTTTTTTTTGTTTACTGAAGTATGATTTATATACAATAAAATGTACAGATCTTCTTTAGCTTGATGAGTTCTGACAACTGTATACACTGATGCAACCACCACCTAAGATATATAACATTTTCATCATCCCAGAAGGGTTCCTTTGAATCCTCTTCCAAATCTCACTCATCAGCCTAGAGGTAATCACTTTTTAATTCCAATAACCACACATAGTTTTGCTTATTTTTGAACTTCATATAAATGAAGTATATAATTTCTGTGTTTGGCTTCTATTGCTTAACATGTTTTTGAGGTCATCTATTTTGTTGTACACGTTGGTAATGTTCTCTTTTATTGTTAAGCAACATTCTTATTTTTTAAATATACTAGATTTGCTTTTCCATTTTCCTGTTTATGAATATATTCAGTTTGGAACTATTACAAATTAAGTTACTAAGAATATTCTTGTACACATCTTTTGGTGATTTTATTTCTTTGATAGTAAGGAGTGAAATTTTGAGTTTATATTATGGTTTGGGTCTAATTTCACATATATAAAAAGAGTTAAAAAAACAGTTCAAAATGTTTGTTTCATTTAAAACCCCCATCAATATATGAGCGTTTCAATTGTGCTACATTCTCACCAACCTTTAGTGGTTTTTGTTTCCTTTACTTATGTTACTGTGTTAACTAAAAAAGATTTTTAAAAAAATTGTTTTGATATAGTTCATTCGCTATTCTAATCTGTGGGAATAGTAGTATCACTTTGTAACTTTAATTCATTTTTACATTATTATTATTATTATTATTATTATTTGGTACTAAGGATTGAACCCAGGTGTGCTTACCCACTTAGCTACATCCCCAACCCTTTTTGTTTTTCATTTTGAGACAGAATCTCAACTAAGTTGCTCAGGGTCTGGCTAAGTTGCTGAGGTTGGCTTTGAATTTGTGATCCTCCTGCCTCAGCTGCCTAAGTCATTGGGATTACAGCTATGTGCCATCATGCCTGGCTTTAATTCATATTTTTGATGATTAATGTCATTGAACATTTTTTGCACTTTTATTTATTCATTTTAATTGATATATTCTGAACACAAGTCTTTTGCAATATATATACACATACACATACATAACAGATATTTTCTTCTCCATCCATGGCTCATCATTTTCTTAGTGTTTGTTGTCTTTTGGTTAGCAGAAAGTTCTAATTTTGATGAAGTCTATCTTATCAACTTTTATAGTTAGAATTTTTGGGGTCTTAAGAAATTTTTGCCTACTCTAAGTTTTCTTCCAGAAGCTTTATGCTTTTGGCTTTATATCTATAATTGTTTTTGGGTGAATTTTTGTTTATGAAGTGAGACATTAAGTATAAATGAATTTTGTATAAAATGAGAATTTTTTGTATATGAATTGAGGTTAATTTTTTCCATATAGATACCACTTATTAAAGACAGTCTTTTCACCCCCCTGGGTGAATTGACCCAATATTTAAAAATGTTTAATACATTTAGACAACTGTTAAAAATAATATAAACCAAAACAGTACTAGAAATAAGAATTTCTAAAATGAAAAATGACTCATGAAGTACTTAAACATTTATACTAAAGGGAAAACAGCTGTGGTATATGGAAAGAATACTAGATATGAAGTCAGAAAGCTTGGGCTCATTTAATGGTCTTGCTGCCTACTAGGTATGCTATCGTGGACATGCCACTCATCTGAACTTTAATTTCCCCACTTAATGAACATATTCCCTCACTTAACTAGCAAAGAGTAGAAAAAGTAGGATGGGACAGGGAGTGGGCAGCTGGCACAGTCAGGTGTCTTGGGCCAGAACCTCTAACATCACCCTCTTTGTCTTTTGGTGGGGAAAGAAATAAGGCATGGGAATTTCAACCATGCTATTTCAAATATGAAAGAAGGTTTCTGTGGAAAATCTCTAAACCTGCATAATTTATGTGAGGCTCCACTCCCAAAACCTTTGGCTTTATAAAGTGTCTTGAGTAGGGAAGTGTTTTCCTTTTAAAGAAGGCATTAATAATGTTTTCTATGCCAGAATGAAAAAAACAAGCATGACACCAAACTAATGGCTCTAATTTTCAAGTCACTACATTCTGTGAGAGGGGATCTCTCAGGTAGATTAGAGAGGGCTTTTTCATGTGTCTTCTTATAAACCATTCTTGGGATAGGGAGCTGGGAACTGACGCAAGCAATGGGTGTGATGACAGGCAAAAAGGCATAGCTGGAACAGCTGCAGACCTGCAACTTCTAAGTTTACTCCAATTCCATTCCAGGCTACTATGACTCTTTTTGCTCCTTTGAATAATTTTGTCTTGGTTCTGCTTTCTTCAGGCGACCACATGTACTAGATGTATACAAATCATGCATCTTGGGCACTTTAATTTTTTTTCTTAATGTAAATATTTGTCTCATATTTTTGCCCATTGTAATCTAAGGTACTAATTTCTGTACTATGTTCTCAGGTACAGGAACAATCCCAGGGCAGCAGCTCCAAGTCTGCTTGAGCATTTAAGAGCATTTCAGATTTTGAATTCTCAGATTAGTGATGTTCAACGTGAATTAACCTTGTAGAAATAAAAGCAGTTATGAAAAGATACTATGAATGATTCTATTAATAAAGAATCTAGATCAAATGGACAAATTCTCAGAAATACACAACATGCTCAGATTGAATCACTGAAGAACTAGAAAAATGTGAATAGGTCAATAGCAAGTGAAGAATCTGAGTTAACATTCAAAGTTAATTTTTTAAAAGTACAGAACTGGATCAAATATAACAATCTAATTTTTCTAATGTAGGACATTAGTTATGGCACTGATTACCTTGACACATTCTCATCTGAAGAAAAAATGGGTAGAAAGCCTGCCATGACAACAGTTGTGCTTCATGAAGAGAATGGATTCTGTAATGGTCATTCTTTTCTATTTAAATAATTGTTACCATCTCCCAAAGAACAGCTTTGGGGCAGGAAAGAAATGTATTTCATTTCAAGCTGGACTACTCATCTACCAAAATACCATTCTGACCAAAGAAACAGATGCAGAATTACAGTCACAGCTGCATTCTGCACAGAACAAGTTGGATAATGGTACTCTAAATTGCTAATTATACTGTTAATGATTTTTTTTTAGTGTCATTGCAGTATTCTGCCACCTTTGTACAAAAATTTTTAAAAAGCATCTAGGAAGTTTTTAAAATGCTGAATTTTGTTTTGTTAAATACCAGTGAGTCTTTCAAAAGGAAATTCCACATAAAACCCATTTCTTGAAATGGCATTCTTGTATGAGATTTTGAACAGGTCCATTTATTGACTAGCTATTTGTCTTAGTTTACTTTCTCACCAGTTTACTTGCATTGATGATTACTGAGGTCCTAAGTATTTCAGTATTAGTGTTTGTATCTAGATCCATAGTTGATATGAAAAGATAATAAACTAACATATGTCATAACATGCTGGCATTGGGAATGTGCTCTGAGTAGACTTACAAAAAGTAATAACAATAGTACAATTTTATTTTTATTGTGATAACTATGGTGAAATTTGTTACAATGTTAGTACTTTGTTGTTTAAGCCATATCATAATAGCTGAGGGAGATAATTACATTTGTGATGTGAGAATGCTGCTAATGTTTTGATTTCACTTTAGATTATAGTATATAGATTAAAGTATTGTCATTATTCCATATTGTATCTTATCAACTTAAATGGCAGATTATTTTTTTCTAGAAACTAATTTCTAGTAATTTATTTTATTACAGTTTCTAAATAATTTACTTCTTAAGTAAATACCCCAAGCTTGCCAGAAACTTAGATTTATAAAAAAATCATAAAAATTTATAAAAACCATTTTATATGTAGAAAATGATACACCAATCACAACTGTGTCACATGGTTTCTTGATAATTTTTATATTTAGCAAGGTAAATAAGTGGATACAAATTAAAAACACAGTCTTAGGCAATCACAAATTCTTAATGAAATACTTACATTTTCTTCTAGCTGATCATCCAATTTCAGTGATCTTTTAACACTGCAAAGGAAATATTTAAAGAAGTCTTAGATTTGACATATATAAAGAAGGCACATATTTAAAGGTAAGATATATAAGCAAAGATTATAGTTACTTTTACTAATTTTTATATTGCTTATTAAAGCATAATACCATATAAAGACAGCAATTATTTATGACTGGTTTGTTTTTAATAGCATATTTCAATATGGGATCATAATTAAATATTTAAGTGAACCATGTTTTTATATACATAATTTGACATACATGCACTACCAATTTAAAATCATAGTATTAAAAGTCTTAGAAAAATTAGTATATTTATCTGCTTTGAAAGACAAATTTGAAAGATAAATAATTTACATAAGAGCAAAATAATTTACATACCATCAATAGAGATGTTCAAAGTATATGATTTGTACTATGAAACAGAAATAGCCCATCATGTGTTAAAGGTATGAGCAAGGTGAAAAAAGTTTTGCACATTATTCTAGCATTAAACATGATTCAGTGCAACCAGACTATGACTTAACTGAGGAACAGATGCTCTATGTCTTTATAAGTCCCCAATCCATAAGAAACTATTTTTTGTTTCCTTCACTAAACTGATTCAGGAACATGCCAGGCTCTCTGTGTGCAAAATCTGTTCTGTTAAACTGGAAGCCCAGCTGTTGGTGACAATGCTTAGAAAGGAAAGCTGAATATTTATAATACTTTATTTCGTACAGCTGTCTTCTAAAGAGCAATCATCAACATTTTATTGAATGCAGACTAAATGCTCAAAGGAGAAAAAGGTCAATATAAATTAAACTAGCTTTCCCAGTGACAAATGCAGCATTAAAAGTACTTTCTTGATCCCTGAGAAACAGAAATTAAATTATTTGAACTATTAGAGGATTGGGATATTATGCAAAAGATTGTGTTGAATTACAGAACCCCCCAAATTATATAGATTCTAGAAGATGATTATTCAAAAATAACTGGTGACTCATAAACAACATATAGGAATAAAAAAAATGAAAGAGATGGGTCAATCTATGAAAATTATTGAGCAGTAAATAATAAATACAAAAATAAATATCTAAAGAAGGTTTACTTAATTTTGCTATAATATTTACATCATTCAATCACAACATTATTTCTTGAGACTAAATTATTTTAAATAATTGTATCTTTTAGAAGTCAATTTAAATTTGGTTTAGGGGCTGGGGATATAGCTCAGTGGTAAGAAACTTGTCTAGAATGTGTAAGATCCTGGGTTCAATTCCTAGCACTGAAAAAACAAACAAACAAACAAAAACAATTTAACAAGTATTCTCAATGAAGTGAGAACACAGGTATTAGTAAATAAAAATGGCAAATCATTTAAAAAAGTATTTAGCTTTGGAATATATATATATATAGACCTATTTAGTACATGAGGTGTTCTGTTTTTCATAATATTTCAAAAGTATAATCAAAAACTAAAGTTACACAATGCAGAATTTTCTTATTATTTGTTTTTAAATGATGCTAAGATGCAGCATCTAAAAGATGTCCTTTTAGAAAAGAACACCCTGATACTAATTTTCAAAATATTATTTTATAATCAGTAGTTGATTTTTAAAGAAAGCAACACAGTGCTTGAACTTAAAAAGATTTCCAGATTAGGTCTTAGTGGATTTAGAAAGCCCATGGAAAAATTATATAAAAGTAATAAGAAAGTGAGCTGAGTTAAAATAGGCTGTCATCTCCCTCTTTGTTAGAGAAATCTAAAAACATGATTCATTCATTGAGGGTAATGTACAATTCAGATAACTGGGGCATTTAATAACCGAAAGTTGGTAATATTTATAAGTACCCTAAAAAGATTTAATAGGCAAAACTAGAAGAAATTTAAGAAATTGCTTAGTTTGTCTACAGGGAAAAGAATTTGTGAAACCCGTCTACTGTCACAATCTCAGTCCTGTGCATAGTAAATCTTTGTTGAATTGAGGTGAGGGAATTGAAAAACAGGTAAAGAAGGACAAATCTACCAGACGAATTTATGATCTTATTCTTACCATTCTATTAGAAATGAACCCTACTGAGATAACAATCATTAAAATAAGCACCTATTATACACAGGCACTCCTCTACCCATGAACAATTATAATATAAGGATGAGATGATGCTACATGAATTAGGATGATATTAATAAAAATATACGAGACAGAAAAAATATAAAGGAAGAATAAGCAAAAATTTGATTAAATATGAGAGAAATATTTTTCTAAAATATGTATTTATTTCCTACCATTATTACTTAACAATTACAAGTGATATACTTCTGGTAGTCCTGTAAAGTTATATCTGGTTCCTGTGACTACTATCTTGGTTTAAAAAACTGGACACAAAAACATGGGGAAAGGACTTGAATTATACCTTTCTCCAAAGAAGATATTCATACACACTACACACACACACACACACACACACACACACACACACACAAGTGGCCAAAAATCAACATGAAAAAATGCTCAACATCCTTAATAGGGAAATATAACCCATGTTCACAAGGAGATACCACTTCATGTCCATTAGCATGGCTATTATAAAAAAAATATCAAAAGCTGTAAGGATATGGAGAAATCAGAACCTTTGTACACTGCTGACTGGAATGTTAAATGGTGCAGCAGCTATAGAAAACAATTGGCAGTTCCTCAAATAATTAAAATTAGAATTACCATATGATCCAGTAATTCCATATTCCAAAAGAATTAAAAGCCAGAACATGAGTAAATATTCATATAACAATATTCACAGAAGCATTGTTCACAGTAGCCAAAAGGCAGAAGCAATCCAATGTCCTGTGACAGATAAATGGATAAATAAAATGTTATCATTCATACACACACATACACACACACACACACACCCAAGAATATATTATTAAGCCTTAAAAGTGAAAGGAAATTTGGCACATGCTACAACACAGATAAACTTTGAAGACACAACTCTAACTAAAATAAGCCAGTCATAAAAGAAAATATACTGCTTGATTTTACTCATATAAGAATAGTCAAATTCATAGATACAGAAAACAGAATGGTAGTTGCTAGGAGCCCAAGGAAGAGAGAAATAGGAAATTACTGTTAATGGGTATAGTTTCAATTTTGCAAGATGAAAAAAGTTTTGAAGATGGCTGGTGATGATGACTGCACAAAAATATAAATATACCTCCCTCTTAGGGGTAATCGTACATCACCTGTAGGTAACTTCTCACTCCAAGCTACCCAAATTTCCCTGTGCCCATAATTTAAATATTATATTCCATCTTTAGGCACACTAGGTTTAGACTGACTAAACCTACCAGAATTATTGTTGTTGGAATTCTCAAAAGATACAAAAACATTTTGCATGCAATTTTATATCAAGAGGAGCGACAGTAACTCTCTTTGTAGAGTTACCATAAATTATTCCATAAGAAGATCCTCCCCTTTTAAATTTAGCTTACTACATGGTAGTACCCTGAGTAAGATTCTCTGATTGATCAGAACAAATTGAGTAGAAAAGCTTTATGTTACTAACATCAATTTCAATATTAAAGAAATTATTCTAGGGGGAAAAAAGCTATCATTTGATTCCTAACCAAGAACCAGAAATGAACTCTTAGAAGCTCACAAAATTATATGATTTGAGGTTCTTATTTTTTTTTTAAATAGGAGTTTTAAAACATTAGATTAAACATGATTTTTGAGTGGCAAAGCTGAGAGTGGGAATAGGAAAGGCAGCAGAATACAACAGACACTAGTATGGCAATATGTAAAACAGTGGATGTGTAATCAATGTGATTCTGCAATCTGTATACGGGATAAAAATGGGAGTTCATAACCCACTTGAATCAAAGTGTGAAATATGATATGTCAAGAACTATGTAATGTTTTGAACAACCAACAATAAAAATTTAAAAAAAGGAATAGGGGGTGAAGAATAAACTTAGCAAAGCAGATAAGACTCAGGGAGCTTTGATGCTATGCCAAATTCTTCTGTAAGGTTGGGCAAATCACATAATCTCACTAAGCTTCATAAAGTTGATAATAATACTGGCCTGTAAAGTAGTAAGAAATTTCTGAGTGGAAGATAAAAATATCACTTAGTATTTCAGTGCTTCCATTTACTCCTCACTATAATGGACACAATAATGTTGCCAGCTACTAACTTCACAAGAGTGTTTAGAGGATTATTGAGTATGATCATGAGATGCTTAGAAATCCTTTGATGAAAGGCAATGGCTAAATTCACATCCCATGTGACTTCTTAAGTATAAATTGAGATATATGAAATGATTTATTTTCCATTCCAAGTACAGGTAAAAAAGGGAGAAGAATTTTCTATAACCTTTCTGTTTCATTCAAGTTTATGCTCCTTTATGTTCAATATTTCTAATGGTCACATAAAAAATCTCTACCATGGCATAAGTGAGGGCAACACCAACCTATTACATGCAAAAGTATGGTCACCATGTGAAGTATCTAAATAAATGATTAATCCTGTTATTCTTCATGACAAAAGTGTCCTGGGCAACATATGTTTATGATGTCAAAAGATTAATGAAAAAAAATTTTACAGAAGTCAAATGAATATATTTAGGAATATTAACACCAGAGGATGAAAGATGAGATTTTTTTTTGGTTGAATAAAATGAGAAATACAGTTAAGACCATTTTACTCCTGAATGGATATTCCTTAATATGCAATAAAATATTCATTAATATTCCTTCTGCAAAAAGTTTACATATACTATAGATAATTTATACATGTAGATTATATGTACCTACAAGTGAAGAAAGGATATAAGTTTGCCCTTTAGAGGAGTTTCCATTGAAAGGGCTCAACTAGGTCTAACAGAATTAAAACATGATAGATGGGTGATATTTTATGTACTTTTCTGTATAAATTTTTATTCTACAACATAAAAATAATCATAAAAAACTACTGCTAATGTCTACCCTATTTTTGAGACTTCAACACAATCATCTTTTAAGAAGTTTTATCCG